AGCTGCACACAGAATTCCTGCTCTTTCCAAGCTGTGTCTTTGCCCAGAGACTCTTGCATTAGTCAGACACTCAACCATATCTTAGGATAGCCCTGAAAAAGGCTGAGACTCTGCTTGCAGATGTGCTGCCATGGGGCTGCATCCCAAACCCTGGTGTTCCTCATTTGCAGCATGAACATAAGTAAAGGTGAAATAGTGTTTTAAATAATGGCACAAGCAATTGCTTCTCAAAAGGTTATCTTAGGTGGGAATAGGGGAAAACAGAAATACTTTATTGTGCAAACCTTTCCCTATCCAAATAATTGTCTTTGAAATCACTGATTATTTGCATCAATCCAGATTGTTTAAAAAAAAAAAAAGTGTTTACTGGTTCTCTGCAGTGTTTTTGTTTGTCATTAACCTTTTGGACAAAGTGATAACCTTGATTTCCTTCAGTCTGATAATTAAATACTGTTCTTTACCCTTTTTTTTAATGGGCTCTGTCCTAGAAAGGTGTGTGCTGACTGAAAACTTCAGATTTAATTCCTTACATGTGGATTTTCAGATTTAGAAAATTAGAAACCTAAATTTTGGTACTCACTTTTTTTGTTGTATATTTAAGAACTGAGGACTCCCTTCCCCACAAACTATTGTGCAGACCCAACTGTTACAGCAGTGTTCAGATACAGCTGGTTGGAATTCCACTTGGGGCTGCTCTCAGAGCGAAATCCCTGTGCCTTGCCGGGGATGTCGGGTTGGGTAAACACTTCTTACATGGAGATCCAGCCAGAAGGAAGCACCAGGCACAGGATGGGATTCAGGCCAACTCAATCTGGTGTCTGGAAACCTGTTCCTGTGTCTTGCAGTTGTTGCACTCAGTATGTGGGGGTGAACAGATCCTGATTTTGTGTAGACCCACGGGGGCTTTGCTCTGGGGAGTGTGCTGGGTCTGGGAGTCTGCTCTGTTGCTTATGCCCATCTTGAATGGGATGTTTTCCACATGGCAAGCAAATCTTTGTGTGCCTTGTTGAGGGTAGGAGGGATGGATGAAGCAGAGCAACTTGCAGATAAAGAATATTGCCAAGACTGACAAAGGCTTCTCCTTCCAACCCTTGGTTTGTGTTATTTCTCTACCACATTTGTGAAATAATTGACTCTAAGCACCTCCCGTTGTTTCTCAGTTTTTATGTGTGCTGCTCTAATGCAATTATCCATGATGCCAGGAATATCCAGATATATTGCTCCTGGTAAAAGGTATTTTTTGGCTGTACATCTGTGCTTAGTTAAGAACTGTTCCCCTTTTTGAATCTGAGCCCAGGTGACTCAGATTTAGCTGTTCCCTTTTCTGATGGAAAGATGGAGAACAGAATATTTTGGTCATCTGAAGCAGGCTTTCATATTGTGCATTCCTGGGATGCTTTTCTTGGTTGTGGGAACAGACAGAACCATTCATCCCAGTATGAAAAGACTGCAGGAAGAATCCAGCGGAGATCTAGAAAATCCTTGTCATCTGTGTTATCTTGGAAAAGGAAGAAAAACAAAACAAGCAGAGCTGGTGGCCCCAGAGCATCCACAGGAGCAGACGGGGTTTTCTTTACAGTGTGTCTGGAGAAAGTCACATTTCCTTGAAGTTCCATGGGAAGGCAAAGCTTTCAGCCTGTGCAGGTGATGTGGGGAGCGGGGAAGAGAAATGGCTCGTGTTTCTTACACCACAGATTTGCCTGCATTCACCTCTACTGCTGGAAACAGATATATTTTTTTTTTTTTTCCAGAAGGGCTGGAAACAGATTTTTTTTTTTTTTTTTTTTTCAGAAGGCTTGAAACAGATTTATTTTTTTTTTTGTTTCAGAAGGTAGAGCCTCTGGGAAGCCCATAGGGCCTCGTATGGGAATAGAGCCGAGGGCTCGGTACGGGAGCTCAGGGCACGTTGTCATCTCTAATGGAGCAGGGCAGTGCCCTGTGGAGATGCTGGCCTGTGTCCCAGGCCAGGGATAGTTCTGCAGCACAGAAGTTGCATCACTCGGTCGGGAGCTAATGTGGGACTTGGATGGCTCAGGCAGTGTTGCTCTGGGTGGTGAAGATGACCTGATGGTGTCATTTGGAAGAGCTCCGTGCTCAGCATTCAGAGCTGCCTAAAAACCTGCTCAAGTGTTTTTATGTTGAAGTGGGGGAGAAACTAGTGGTAGGGGAGGAGTATCTGTCCCTAGCAGCAGGCATAGATTTCTTAAAAACGAGTGTCTGGGATGTTTTGAATCTGTGTCTTGCTGACAGATTGCACTTAGAGTAAAATTTACTGAAGTTCGTCCTCATTTCCCTGTGTGAAGTGTGCTAAGTCAACCATCCCTGACTCCTTGCTCTGGTCAGTCTGCAGCTCCTGGAGGTGACAATGACACTTGAGGAGGGTGAGTTTGCCCCTGCCAGACCTCCCTGTGAGCTGACATGTGCTGGGCACAGCTGGGCAGGGGATCTGCCTGGTGGTGCTTGAGGAGTTTTTGAATCTGTTGTGTGTGACCCCAGTGAGTGTGGCCATGAACTGGTTGTGGTGGTCGTATTTCAGGTTAAAAGCAGCTGTCTGTTCTGAGGGGAGCATAATTAGCAGCCTGTGGAGTTCATTTGTTCATTACTGTGTTGAAAGCAAATCTGTTTATGTTAAGGTTTCTGGCAGAAATCTTTATGCAGTGGGAATGCACTTCCTCTTGTCTCTCTCCCCCTGCATAAAAATATCCATTTGTCCTGAGAAGAAGCAGAATATCACAATATCCTGTGACTGGTGTGGGCAGCTGATCTTCAGGGGATAATGAGTAGTGGAGGGAAAATGAACTGAAGTTTCCTGTCTCCTCATAGATGGGCAGCAAAATCGAGGAAGGAACACACTAAATTCAGTGCTCCCTAAAGTTTGTGGTTCTGGCTGCAAAGTTAAGAATTCAGAGAATCCCTCTAATAGCAGCCTGAAAAACTGTAAAATCTTTTTATTCTGACATCCTTCCCTGCTTAAATTCTTCTCAGCTACTGTTTTATGTTTTCCCTGTGTCTTTTTACCCTCCCATCCTCATTCCTGCATGTGGATCCAACCAGCCAATCCCGAGTGCAGCATCAAACCTTGTAACCAGAAGGTAGGACCAGTTGATGAGATGAGTAAATCCAGGAGTAAGGGCATGTTGTGAAGAGGGCAAACCTTCATGTTGAAGGTGAGGAAGACTGGGACGAGAGCTCTTGGTGTAGAGCACAACCCCTACCAGCAGAAGTGCTGCAAATCAAGTTGCTCTGTAAAATCAAAGCCAGCCCTGGGCAAAATGTGTTGTATGAGATGGAGTGGGTGGGAGATATCATACCTGATGCCTTGACAGATAGGAGGAACCCAGCTGATTGATGTTTCTCACCTCCAGATTCAGTTCCTTGTCTCCCTATTTTATGCTGTCTCCCTATTTTATGCTAAACAGAGCTGGAAGCTGCAGCCTCCTGTCCAGCTCTGACAGCATCTGCTCCTCGCTGGCTCTGTCACAGGAAGGCTGTTTTCTCTCTTCTTTAACAAGAACTGCTTGCTCTTGTCTGTTATTGCTGCTGCTGGTGATGTGATCTGAGCATCCCTCTTGTCATAACCAGCCTGACTTCTGTGTAAGGTCAAGGTCTGCAGGTGTCTGAGGCCAGCCCAGGTGCTGAACACCTTTGTGGGGGACATGGGGAAGAGACAGGGCTCGATCCCTTGGGTTTTCATTCAGGCTCCCTCTCTGCTGATCCCTCCTTTCTTTGTCTCTCTAACTCAGTGTGGGATGACTGACTCTTACTGCTGAAACACTTGGGTGTCTCGGATATCTGTGAGCCCTCGGGAATACGGTTTTGGAATTCTCCTTGTGGTTTTCCCTCCTCTGTGTCTGCCTGCAGCTCTCCCTGGAGCCCTGCCAGCCCTGGGCTCGCTCTGACCCAGCCTGTGTTGAAATCCTTACTCATGCCTCAATCACTTCCTGTCCTGTCATTGCAATTCCCCCCTTGCAGCATCTGTAAATCTTTCCTACGTTTATTCTCAGGGGTGCTGCCTGCAGCAGGCTGTCTCCTTCCTTGGCCTGGAAGCAGGTGTGGGTATCTCCAGTTTCTGGCTGGTCCTTGGTTTGCTCTCCTTGCAATCCCCTTTGCCGTTAGGTCTGTGCTGTCCCTGGCTTTGGTGCCACCTTCTTCCCTGCCCATCCCAGACTGCTGTCTCCCAGCCTCAGCTTCCTTTTGGCTGATAGACTCAATTTTTTGATTGTTTTTCTTTATCCATTAGGAATGTTTTTGACTTTTTTTTTTTTTTAAGCAACTTAGTCACTTCCTCTATTTTTCTTTTCTCATAAAACTTTGCTTGAGAAGTTGTGTGCTTGCTGATGCAATATCCTTGCAAGAATTTGGAGGTTTTATTCCATTTGCCTACTGGGAAGAGAATGACATAGGGAAGGGTTGTGACTTCACTGAGTAGTTGGTAGCCATGCTTAAGTTTCAGAAAGTTTTTTTGCAGTCTTATTGTAAATGCATGGGATCAGATGTCCTCTTTATGTGACAAGGGAAGGAGCTGAAAGCCCCATTTTTGGACACTGGCCTCATCCTTCCTCCCCCTGCCAGTTTGGAGAGGCTACCCTGAAGATGGTGAAACTGGGGACTGTGCACCAAAGGTTTGGTGCTGAGGGTTGGTGGTGCCTTTGGTCAGGGCTCTGAGGCTTTGCTGATGCCTGAACTGAGACTTTAGAACTTAAAACCAGTCAACAATTTCCATCACTCAGCTGCCATACTGAAGCTAAATTCTTGTTTGATGGTTCTGGGAGGTTTCAGCTTTGGCCCAGGACTCCCCAGGACTCTGAGACTGACAAAAAGAATGTAACATGAAGATGGGAGATGAGGGAAATGATCACCCTTGCTTTACAGGATAAGAAATGAAAGATGCTGCCTCTCTTGGGGCTGTGAGGAGGGAGCTGGGCACTGCTTTCTGGGAGCCTGTTCCATGTTCTCCTACTCATTCTCCACCTGATGTCTTTGTGCTCTTCTCTCCCAGGTGTGTGACGATGGAAGAAGAGGTCCACCAGCGAGCAGCCTGAACAGGGACATCGGGACAGCTCTCTGAGACACTGGGACACAGGAGACAGCAAACATGCTGAAGCCAAGTGGACTTAAAATCCCTGGCAGGGCTGGGAAGCACTCCAGCCCCGTGGGACGGACATCAGGGACCACCACAGCTCCAGTCACCACTGGCTCAAAAGAAGGTAAGGGCTCCATCTGGCAGGGGCATGAGCTGACCCAGGTGATTGCCTGCCTTAAAGGCCTAGTGGTGCCAGTTTTCAGTAGGATATGAAATTCCCAATCTGTACATAGATTGATGCATCAAAACAAGCCTAATAGGGTGAGTAAATGTCCTCCCTCACAGGTAATGCACAAAACAGGCAGGTTGTGGAGTGGGTGGGAAGAGACAGATGGATGCTCTGGTGTTTAGGGCTGACAGAGGTGCTGCCTGCTCTCTTGCTCTCACTTTGCATGTGTGTACCTGTACAGACACTGACACTGAAGAGCTGGGAATTAGGCAGATCCATGACCTTAAACACTGTCCTGTAGCCATTGCTCCTGGCCTGTGATGATGTAGGAGTAAGAACCAGGCACTTAAGGTGATTTGCCCTGTGCTGATTACCTCAAATCAGTGTCTTTGTTTAAACAAAATCATTCAAAGCCCTGGGATTTGAATAATGATTTACCTCCACCTACATACACACCCTTGCTGTCATTCAGTGTATACATAAGCTACACAGACTGCCATTAGCAGTATAATTAACACTTCAATAACAGTTGAGGTGTGTTTTGCTTAGGACTCATTTTTCTGGCTTATTGGCTGCTGGGTTGTTGTTTTATTACATATAATTTAGTAAATATTCGAGATGCAAGTTTTGTAGTTGTCTTTTTTGTTTCACTTTGTTAAAAAAGGCCTTCCTTTTCCTTCTGGGGAGGCACATCAGGATGATGTACATCCTATCAATGCTTGTACTTTCAGTATATTACACTTTCATTTGAGAATGTCACTGGTTGCTTCTTGAGATCTGTCAGCCTCTTGTCCCACAATAATTCAGGCCACTGCCCACATGCCTGGTTACTTTGCTATATGTTTCAGTCCAAAAAATATATATAGCATTTAGCAAAATCAGGAAAGCCTTGTACTTGTCAGACAGCATGTTTATTATTATTGACTAATATTGCCTTTAGTATACTCTGACAAATTAGTCAGTGATTATGATGCTGCAAAATGAGGGTCACCAGACAATGCTGTCTCTTGTCAGAGTAATGCAGAAGTGTTAGTTTATTTAAACAAAACAAAAAACCCTATCTCTGAGGGTTCTCTTTTGCTTGGGCACAGTGGGATGGTGGTTTAGGCACAACCTCTGCCCAGGATATTCACACAGACCCCACTTGCTGCTGAGCAACTGGCTCTGCTCCATCATTACACATCAGGGGCTCTGCTTTGCTCATGGATTCCTTCAGCTGAGCTTTCTCTCAGTGACCAGCAGTGTATGTATCATCTTTCCCACTGTGTAAATTCTTTCCCTAAACAGTATTGTAGAAGCCACAGCTCTATCTTGGTTTCTTGCACATCTGCAATGTCTTGTTTGAGGGGCCAGTCGCTGCATGAGGCCGTGGGCTGAATTCCAGGTCCTTTGGTGTGATACAGCATTGTGGGGAGTGGAGTGACACTACTGTTTTCCTCAGCTGAGGACTTGGCCCTAGATGTGGAGAGAAAATTTTTAATTGCACTTTGCTGTGTTTGAGTGGGTTTTAATATCAGAGCCTAATTTCTTAATTTTATATGCAAATCGAAGGTACCAAAGTGTCCTCATATCTTTGCTAGAGGGAAGTGCAAATTGACAAAGGAAAAGTTTTACAGGTTTGACTGTGTATTTTAGTTATTCCTCAGACCCTGAATTTCTGAATTTTCCCCTTGTTTCTCCTAGCTGTGATTGAGACATGAACTTGAACTCCAGTGAAGTTCAAGTTTACTGAGCTTCTGTTTATCTGCCGGTTGTGAATCTCTCAAGGTGCTTCGTGCCAGCTTTATAATTGCAGTGTGGTGAGGAGCTGCTTTCAGTTGCTTTATCACTTCAAAAGAGAAAATGAGGGGAAAAGACCTGTCCTCCCCTTGGAGGCTCTGCAGAGGTGTCTCAGCAGACGCAGTTGGGGTGTGTGTCGTGGTATGAAAGGGTCAGTCAGCAGCGGGGTCGAGCGGCCCTTGGGCTGAATGCGGCGCCTGTTCACTGGTGCTCCTTTGTGCCTTGTTCAGCTCCAGCCATCTGTCACCCAGAGATGTGCAGCAAAGCCAGCCCCACGTGGGCAGAGGCTGCACCAAACTGAGTCCGACCCTTGCCTGAGAAGTTTTAAGTGAGCTTTTTTCCTGGAAAAAAAGCGGGCACGGAGAAGGGGTGAAGTCTTGTGACGGTGGGTTGGTGCTGTGCAACAGCTCTGCTGCTGCTCCTCTGCCTGTCAGGATGGTGCAGGAGGGTTTGGGGAGTTGTGGAGCTGCTGGAGCAATCACAGCACTGAGCCATTCCTGCCTGGAAGGTGAGAACAGAGCACAATGGGGCTGTTTACCCAGCGTGGGCTGGGTGAATAGCTACGATTGGGCTTGTAGTGTCAGCTCTGACATCTTGCTCTGCACTGCTGTGTCTGTGCCTGGTCTGTACCTGCTCTTCCTCCTGCAAATCTCTCCAAAGGCCTGCCCAGCCCTGTGCTGCCTCCTTCTCCTCTCCTTTCCAATGTTAATCTGAAGCGGTGAGCATCCCAAAATTTGCATCCCAAAATCCTGTTGATGGTGCCTCTCTCTGAGAGCAGCAGCATCTGTGCTGGCTGTGGGTTCTGGCTGCAGCACGGTCATGGGATTCAGCTGCTGGCAGGGAAAAACTCCAAGAGAAAATACTGTTTTTCTGTCAAAGTGGTTTAATTCTGCTCCAGAGCCAAGTATCCACATCACTGAAACCACAGCAGGCACTGACGTCAACTTTGGGGATGCCTGCAGCCAAAGGATCTGGTGATAGATGGCCATGGAGACTGGATTTCATTACCTTTCCTGGGATTAATCAGATCTGGGCCACAAGAAGGGTAATGGAGCTCTGCCCCATCCTCACTTTTCTGCTTCACTAACCTGTATCCCCCAGCCTCTACCCTCTGGGTGCATCAGTGCTGCCAATCCACAGTCCTGCTGATAACTCAGCTGTACCAAGAGCAGGTCCCTCTGTGCCAGCTGAGGGCTGTCAGGTCCTGCACTGTGCACCAAGTGCTGTCCCCAGTGTCAGGGCACTGGAGCCTCCCTAATGGCAGGAACAATAACAGAGGTGGAGAGGCTGAACACAATTTCCTTTTGTGTGTTTAATGTGAATACTGCAAAGGGCTTTTTCTTCCCTCTTCTGTCACTGTCCAGGAGAGTGCCTTCATGTGATGTATTGGGTGCCTGCTGGGATGGGAAGATCCTCTAAAGGTACTAGATTTTGTATGAGGTCTTAAAAGTTGCATGAAGGAGCCTGTGTGTTTGAGAAGCCCTGCAGAAACTATGAGCTCTGTGTTGTCTTTGAATGTTTGCATGAGCTCTGTGCCCTGTGTCTGTGCACCAAGAGTGCTTCCTGGGAGGCTGACAGGGTTTCCCTGACTCCACAAAAATCCAGTACACTCACATCCTCCTAAGCTCCTGTGTTGCCTCTGCACTTACCTGCCTCTTGCCAGAAGAGCCAAAAGAGACTTTCTTTTTCTTAGGCATTTGGTGAAGCACCTGAGCCCTGCAGCTTGATGGATGAAAACCAGTGATGTTTGGGTTACAAAATACAGAGCTGCAACACTGATCTCTGTGAATTTGCCACCTTGGGGGAGGACAGAAATCTCAAAAACTCGAAGTGTAGTTGCAAAAGAAAACCACAAATCTAACAAAGTACAGAATTAAACTACAGCAATGTACAGTCTGTTGCCTCTGAGCTGTCCCTTGTCTCTAGGAGCCTGGGGCTGGCTCAGAAAGACCCCAAATCGAGGTTATATCTTCCAGATTGAGAGTTGAAAGAAGGTGTTTGTTCTCCAGTTGTACCTGAGAGTTGTCAGAGCCATTAGATGAAAATGGATTTTGAAAAGCTTCACTCTTTCATCCTCCTCCCTTCACATAAGCTGATCAGTCTTGTCTGCAAAAGGGCAAGTAGAGGTACTTTCCTTTATTCTTACTCTGGAATACACAAAGCTGCTTGATTTCTTCTTTCTCTTTTCCCCAGCTCTCTGTTCATATTCTTTTGTGGAAAGTAAAGTGCCTCTTGTCCATCTCTCATCCCTCCTCCTTTCCCAGACATGGAGATGTACCCTCTTAAACATTTCCATGTTCTCTTGACAGCTCACATCTTGTGTACCAGAAGAAGGATTGATGCAGGTGTGAAATGTGTGATGCACATCTGTAGAGTTTCACAATTCATGGCTGTAGTTTTCTGTGTAGACCAAATATACTGCAATCACACTGAGCCAGCTTCTCACACCTGCTATATCAGTTTTATTTCCTGAAAACACATTCAGAGCCCCTTCAGCTCATGGAATGTCCTCTGGACTTTATAGTATAGAGTGGAGAGTTGTGTCTCCTACCTGAGCTGGTGCTTTCACAGACCCATGAGGAATAAGGGCTTTTGTGATGCTGCTCTGGGTTAGGTGTGTTGGCTTGTGGTGTGTGGAGGGTTTTTTTTCCATGAGGGAATGCTGAAATGTCAGTGAGGAACTGGCACCTGACAGGGACTCCTGGAGCACATTAACCTCGAGTGGTGTCCATGCTGGCTGTCCCCCTCCCTTCTCTCCCATAAAGCTGGAACAATGGAAAACTGAGCTCTGCTGCTTTGTGGTAACTGTTTTCCTTAATCAGACAGAAAATTCATCTCTGGCTGCCTCAGGAGAGGGTTTCCCACAAATGTGCTGGCTTATTTCCCGTGCTTCAAGTGAAGAAAGTCACTGCTCTCAACCTCTCGTGTGCAAGAGAGGTTTCTGTGCTAAAGGTGTGGGGCACTGGTGAAGGGCTCAGTATAACACTTGGATTTCTTGTCGCTACAAAGCTCCTATATCTTGGGTTTTTCCCACCCTCCTCCTGAAAAAGCTTGCTTTTCCCTGGAGTTGCAAGATGGAGAGAGAATGGAAGCCGTGATGAATGAGCCCACACAGCCCTCCCAGCTGGTGGAACAGGTGAAAGCTGCTGGGAAGGGAAGTGTTCACATTTCAGAGT